TTTTAGGAAGATACATACATGAAGTTGCGTGGAAAGCGGCCGACCTTAATACTGGCGGGCCAGCGCCAGACATCCAGTTTGGCGCCTCCCCAGTCAGGCAGGTCAGAGGGGTCCAAACATGGGGACAAGGCCCGTATGAACAGGGATTTCTTCCCTTGCTCAGGGGTTACGGCGGCTTGCACTCCCGTTTGGCAATCCTACCTGGTCCTGACTTATTCATGGCGAACCGATACGCCGAGGTTATACCCCCTCCTTTTGTGCATGGATATGGTGCCAAAGGCAAAAACATCTTGCCGCAGTGGGGGAGTGTGGTACGGCTGCCTACTCTGCCCGAGTCGGTCTGGGGCAACGGGGACACCGTCCCTCTGTGGGCCTCTGTTGGGAAAAAGGGCAGTGGACCAGTGCGGCTCCAGCTCTTCCCTGGAGTCCTCATGTTTTGGAAGAAAGATGCCCTATCTTCCTGCAGGGCCACCCCGAAATGGCGCAGTCGACCCAATACCCCAACTGGGCCGCTTGCTCTTCTTGCTGCCGCTGCGCATGCTTGGCTGGCCCAGGTGGATCTGCCGTGGCCTCTCTTTGCTGCAGACATAAAGGTCACGCCGCTGGGCCTCAGTCAATACTGGGATGATGGACTTGCCATGCGTGTGCAACAAGCCCTGGCAGCCTTTGCCTTTCCTGCCTACCAGTACCCGCCCCCAAAGCCTCACCTAACCCCCTCAGGGGAATGTCGGTCGCTCTTCATTAGCGGGATGCATGGGAAGGCCGAGAATGCGCCCTCCACTGTGTCGGGTAGCATCATTCACACAGCCAATTCCTATGCACTCACTGGCTTAGAAATGGAAACAGTCCGGGACAACCAGGGCAAAAAAGTCCGATATGAGGACACACAACGCCCGTTGTTGCTTTCGACCAGCGGTAATGCCGCACATGCACTGCTGCTCCTGCCCCAAGCCGCCCAGCTGTGGGCACGTGCTCTGTACCCTCAGGTCGAAGGATGCGGTCTGCCAGCGGCGGTTCGTGCTAGAATCAGCTCGGTAGAAGCCTCCCTGACAATGTGCCCGGCCCTAGCTCACTTGCACATGCCACATACTGCTGCGCTGACCGCTCTGCATGTGGGCCTCGCCGCGGGGAGAGCTGGCGAGTGCAAACTGTGCGTTACGGGTTTCTCTGCTGGGTCGTATACGGGCGCTGCTGTGGCTATCGCTTGGCATGAGCGCCAAAAGCTTCCTGACTGCAAGGGCGATTTTGTCCACATCAAGGCACGTTTGGGCGGCATTGCCATGCCACGGGCCATGCTGCAATATATCCTGGGTTCGGAATTGCGGCACGCTGTTAGTCTTGTCCATCATGAGAGCGACCAGCTTTGTATCTTCGGGCCCAGCCAGGCAGCAAGGATGCAAGCGATTGGCGCGGGAGCGCGTCTCTACTACTTCACTGGACCTGAGTCACTTGGCAGTGGTGGACACTCTTATGGTCACTTTGTCCAAAGTGAAGAGCTATTCCAGCTCACGCCGGGGGATTATGTGCATAAGGAATTGACTAAAAAGATTTGTGGCCTGGCCGACCCCCGGATGGATCGCACAGTGCGGGCAGGTTTGATGGGGGTTGCGTGTGGCTCTGTCCAGCTTTCGGATAAGTCTAAAACTTTCATCAACTCCGTGCTGGGACGGCAAATCAAACGCCCCGATCTGGAGGCTTTTCTCCGGATACCTTCCGCTGAGAACCGGAGCATTGCCAGTCTCCGTGCTGACTGTGCCCAAGTCCTCCTGACGGATGCCAAGCCGCATCTGGCTGATTTGCCGCCCCCGTATCATGAACTTGGTCCCACGATGAAGCTTGTTTTGGGTATGTGGCTCCCCCACCTGTCGTTAGAACGCCTGGTTGACATGCTGGGTTATCAGTTTTTAGCCATGGCCTCGGAAGCAGAAATCGAGGAGGAGCCCTCGGAACAGTATCACTACCCAGAGCAAGCTGCGGTCAAGCGGGCCGCCACCCCTGTGGCGATAAAGCCCGGCACGCATACGTGGCCAATCTGCCTTCTCCATCGAGTTTACCCACGAGCGTCGGTCATGCTCCTTACACCGGAGTTGGCGGATGTCCCTGACTGGGCTACAAAGTGGTTTGCTGTTGCTGGTAAAGTGCCGGCCAAGGGCACTGCTTTGCTGGTTACCTTGAGAGAAGACAAGGGAGATGTGGCCTACCCAGGCATGTTTATCGAGCTCCTTGCCCCGAAGAAGCTTTCCACCGGCCCTGGCGAAAGTAAGGCCATGCAGCCAGTCAATATAACCATTGCCCTGCTCTTGACTGATGAACAGCACAACCAATTCGCGCAACGACCCTCATTGCCGAGAGTCAGCCAGCTTGAAGTTCTGCCCGGAGGAGCCTCTACCCCGCTGTGGGATGCCCTGTTACACATGCCTAGGGAAAGGCAACATGTTGCATTGGGCGTTCCGCTAGAAGACTCGCCTCTTGATGCCATCCGGCAGCCACATTGGTTGCCGGGCTTTCTCACGGATCTAGTGCTTGTCCTCATTATCGGGCTGGTGGTGAGAGGGAACTGGCACGACACATGGGCACAGCTCATTCACCCGGAGGTCTGCCAAGTCTTCAGAGGCAAGCACGCAACGCAAGCTGCGCAGGCATCGCCTACTGCGGGTCCGGGGGCCTCCAACACCTTGCAAAGCATCCTTAACCTTTGGCTTGCGGAGGAACAAACCTATCGCAAAGAATGGACGCCGACGCTGCTGAGTGGCGTGTTAGCCACGCTGCCTGACTCTCCGCTGCCCGGCCAGGAGGACGCCCGGACTCCCTGTGGCATGCGGAGCGTCTACGCATGTCCCAGGACTCGTTGAGTAACGAGCACGATCCGAGGACTCGGCAGCGCTGCTGGGAGCGTGCTCGTACGGCCTGGCCGCTAATCGTACTTCTGTATTCATAACGGGGGCGCCTTGCGTGCCTGACGAACCGGCTCACCCTGTACACCGCTCATGGCAATGAATCGGTTCGTGCCTATGTCGAGGCGGTTGATAGGCTCACGACTGCTAGCAATGAATTTGTTCGCAGCCGCATCGTTCGCATACCGGGTAACAAGGAGAAGGACACACATCCCCTTTGATGTGCACGATTTGTACCGGGGGCTACTTGTAGCCACGACGCATGGTACGATTGTGGCAAGGCTTAGCTTTCCCTACTCGCAGCTCATTAACCGTCTAAAGGATGTTGAGTTGCTCCTCCGAGATGAAGCCCAGCAATTGGGCACACCGGGTTCCAACACCATCCTGGCGCACATCAAGCATGCACTCGATGTCATGATTGGCGACCACAGACAGCCCGCTGGAGGATCGCGGCCCAATTACCACTTCGTCACGGAGTTGTTGGAGCAAAAGATTTGTGGTCTCAATGCGGTCCCTGCCGACCTCCACACGCCAGCCACCTTGCCTGCGGCCCTTTTGCGGCAAACGGAACAAAGTTCCGGCCCGTGGAAAAAGGGGCAAGGCGAGATGCCCTCTTGGGGCAAGCCCCGCCGTTCCTCTGGAGCGTCAGAAGTGTTGTTCTCAGCGGTCTCGATGCTGGATTCGATTCTCTGTATGAGCATCGTCAAACCGAAGCAAGCCGAGACAGTCATGCAGGCCGCCGGGCTGAAGGCCATTGTCGGACCGGCTATCAACCTCTCGCTCTGTTCATCCATGCGCCTCCCTCCTGAGATTGCTGCCATTCTATACGCATGTCGGTACTCGGAGGCGTGCCGCTTCGATCTGACAGGCGGGGTCCCTCGGCTACTTATGCCACCTGGTCCCACGATGCAGCACCTGCTCGGGCGGCCACTGCGTAGCTTTGCAGGCAGGTGGATGGAAACGTGCCGATGGGTACGGGTGCCAGATCAGGATGAGACCCAAACCAAATTAGGCAGAAGCTACGACCTCAGCATGGTCCTGGCGGACATTGTGCTCACTTTTGGGCACCAGGTTTATCCTGACTCCCCTATCGGGATGGTCTCTCAGTATGCCAGGATTGTTACTCAAATGAAGTTTATGCTGCAGTCGAGTCTCCCCGCAGACCCACTGGGCGATGACGATATGAGCCTACTTGAAGCCTGCCAAACCGCGCAAGATTTCCCGCTGACTGGCGCGCCCACCACTTGGAGCCTTGTGACGTTCCGGACCTTCCTCATGAATCACAAAGGGTCCCTTAAACGCTTCTTCGGCGCTATCACCACGGCTTGCTCCACTGGCCCCACATTTGGGATAGGTGTCTTTGTGACTTGTCGGGCTTCTGGATTCCTGTTTAGTAGCGAGGCAGGGTTTGCCCGAGCCACCTCCTCCTTCACGAGAGGACTTGGGGCTTTGGTTTTCGTGGCACCGCACTACTCTGATGGTATAGGTGCATGCTTCCAAATGGCGGCCTGCGCAACCGGAGGCCTGATTGAATGCGCGGAATATGTGCGCACACAAGCCAGCTTGTGGAGCATGGATGGCCCTGGCGTTGCAAAGGCATTACACAAGCAAGCCTTCCGAGAACGGACAGTAGCCAGCATCGTGCTGCCTGCGGAACGCAAAGTAGGGCTGGACCTCTTTGAAGCCCCACCCCTGCATCAAGCGTGGGCCTTGAAGGCCACCTGGGGAGATGACGGCCTTCCATCGCGATGGACAAGGCATTATTTCTGTAGCTGTGTCACGAAATTTTTCTTGGGGAAAAATTTCTGGTTGCATTTGCGGTGTTTTGTTTTAAACCGGGACGTGTCCATTTGTGATGCACACACATGCACGCATCATGACATTTAAAAATGGCAAGTGAAGCACGAGCCCATTTTCTTGAATGCAGATGTCATGTTTTGTGAAACAACATGTGATATCTGCAGCACCTCGGTTCGAGTAAGGTGCACAGAAAAATTTTTGTCTAACCTGGGCTTGAAGGCGCAACGGCTCCGCTTGTCAACAGGCCCGATCCTTTCAACAAGTTTCCCTCTTAGAGGGCGTGCAAGCCAGAGTGATCTCTGGTGGATGGACACAGCGGATCGCGTTCTTCCAGAGCTTCAGCGTGAGGTTGCCCAGGTTGAGCCCCTGCGGCATCAGATAGCTGTCTTTCAGGGTGATTTGAGTGCATACCATCTTGAGGTCGAGGCTTTGCGTGCAGAAGTTAGGGCCTTGCGTGATCAGATCGTCCCTTTGCAAGAGGCCCACATTCGTGCTTCTGCCCGCCTGCAGCCCCGCCTTGTGCATCCTGCTCCAGCCATTGAAACCTTGACGGAGCGGGTGTTGCATAACCAGAGCTGTTTTCAGTTTCTTGTTGTGGCGTTGCAGAGAACCTTCCCTCACGTTCAGTGGCAGTCCCTCCACGAGGACTAGGCCGCCAGATCTGCCTTGAGTCTTCCTGTGCACGGGGGGGGGGGGAGTGTCAGCCTCAACTTCGATACTGGTGTGCAGCTGCCTGAGATACTTTTCCACTACGGTACACTGCGCAACATGTCAAATCGCAAAAGACCAGCTGATTTTGACCTTGACAGAGCAATCGAGGAAGCTGGTTTTTCAGGTGTCCGGAGTGTTGAATTGATGCCTTGGGAGAAGCCACCTTTCAAGGGTGTTTTTGAGGTGCAAACGTCAGTTCCATTCGCCCAGCCTCTACGTGTGCCCATGCCACGACCTAATATACCACAGTGGCCGGTATCTGCTTATCAAGTCAAAGCCGCTAAGAGAGTACCACTTTCTGTGCCTGCAACAGGTTCCTTACCGCCTGTGTTTGACCAGGTCCTTCGCAAGGCTCGTCTTGAACCAGGGGTCAAGCAGTCATTGGACAGGGAAGCAGTTGTGCGGCGATGGTTGTGCGTGTTGTTGCATGATACCAGTGCATCTTCATTGGGCCAGATGCTTGCGGGGAGTGCGTGTGATGGTGCCGAGCTTGTGTCTGAGACGTTTGAGGGCAAAGCAACAAGTACCCTTCTGAAAAGAGTCCGCTGCATCGGGAAATACGTGCATTGGGCGTCGGACAATGGGTGCGATGCTTTCCCCTTCTCAATTGAGAAGATCCGGAGTTACCTCAAGGATGCTATTTCGGGTAACAAGAAGAGTGCCATCCGGGATTTTGCAAGCTCCTTGAATTTTTGTCGCTTTGTGTTGGGGTTTCAGGTGAGTGATGATGTGACTTCACACCCGTGGTTCAAAGGGACGATGAGATTTGCCAACATCCGGCTCCGGGATGCCCACCGATCACGGACCTTGACTGTGAAGGAGGTGAAGCATCTTGAAGAGGCCTTGATCGGGGGCCGTTTGGACCGTTTTGATCGATATGCGCTCGGAGTTATGTTGTTTCAGCTGTATGCTCGAGCCCGAGTGTCTGATTTGCGTAATCTGTTCAAGGTTTACCTGGACATAACCGGGGCAGAAGGGTATATCGAAGCACATACGTACGAGCACAAAAGCCGTCGCATTACCAGTGGACCCAGTGCTGTCCTCATACTGGTGGCCCCGATCCAGGGGCTCGCCTCCCAGCCTTGGGGGCTTGCTTTTGTTCAGGCTGCCAAAGATGTTGGGTTTGACTTTGAGAAGGGTTTCAGAGGCCCGCTGTTGCCCCGTTTTGCCAGCGATTACACTTGGTCAGGGGATGCGGTGGATGCTGCTGAAACCACAAGGTGGCTGAATGGCATCCTCAAGGCGCTGATGGGCGAAGTCCTTGATGGTCTAACGAGCCATGGCCTGAAAGCCACAACACTTTCGTGGGTGACAAAGGCAAATTACGGGGACCGTACCATCCTCGTTCTTGGCCATCACTCACTGGGGGGCTAGGGGCAAAACTTCCGAAGCATATGGTCGCGATGTGCAGGCGGGCCCGTTGAGAGACTTGTGTGCATGCTTGAAATCGATCAGAGTGGGGGTCTTCCTTCCAGACTTGACCCGCAGTGGCATGATCAGGGAGCACGCTGAGTCGCATGACGAGTTCCCGCGTAGTTTTGCTTCTCGTCCCCCCTTCCAGCCGTCCTTTGCACCGTCCTTCAGTGTTGCTGGCCCTGCAAATGACACGGCGCCCGACGAGGCAGCACTTTCTGAAGGGGGGGCTTCAGCGTTAAGTTTGGATCGAGCTCCCGGTTTCCAGGAAGGTGAGATTGAGGTTGCCAGGGAGGCCGAGGAAGATGCAGTCTTCGGTGGCGTGAGCCCAGATCGTGTGTGCGAGTCAGGTTCCTTGGAGTCTTCTAGCGACAGTGAATCATCGGGCTCATCCGACGAGCCGGTTGATTATGATGGATTCCTCCGAGGCTTCGAGGTGCAGGCCCCGCGTGCAACCATAGGGGTAGACCTGGATCTCTTCCAGAACCCTAAGACAAAATCAATCCACGCAAGGGCCCGAGGTGCGACGCCAGACAGCAAGATGCTTTGCGGTCGGCCGGCAAAAGGTTTTGTTCCCTTCTCTGGAAGAGTGCACAGCAAGCATTGGAAGTGCAAGCAGTGTACGATGGCTAAGCCCATCCGAGACACTGGCTCGCTTTTGCATCACCTGGACAGGCGCCTCGAGAAGTAAGGCGATGTGAAAAGCTTGCGTGCGGCTCGTGGAAGCATTTGCGGATGTTCGCGGCAACATCCTTACTGCCGGTCATGGCACCGGCAGTGTATCTGGGTACCACGGAGTTCCAGCTGCTGTCTTTCCTGAAGGGATGAAGCTTGACTGTTTCAGCAGCCACTGCTCACATGCCTGTTGTCTTCAGTTGGCTCTCTGTAGCAAACTGCAACTCGACAATACGATGTGTCAACCTGCTGCGCTCAGTCTTCAAGGAATGTAGCTCGTGGTTCGATCACGGCTGCAGAGTTTGTAGAAGGTGCATTCTACGAGATGATTTGACATCATGTTTTGCAGATCGTGTTTGCGATTACTGACCTCGTTTTCGGAAGCTCTAATGGGAGGTGCTTAGGACCTTTGCAGCTTCTTTGGCCACAGTCTACACAGTTTGCCATAGCACCTCTGTGCAGGTGTTGTTAGGTCCAGTTTTCGCTTGCCCTAAGATCCTGTGCGCCATGTCTGCCTTGTTGACTGAATCTACTGCAGTTTTGAAAGAGCGTGCCGCTAAGGTGGGGTTGCCAGATGATGCCTTGCAACGGCTGCTTGACCAGGGCGTCGACACTTTGGCCAAACTGGCGTTTGCCCCTGGTCATCCCGGGGAGTCCCCCAGTGACGAAAAACTCAAGGCCTTAGTTGCTCCAGTCGCTGCAGCCGGAGGTGCAGGAGGTGCCGATCCCTCTCTTGGTACCGTCGCCGCGGTACGCCGGTTAGTCTTCGAAGCACAAACGTTGGTTGTCAATGAGACCAAGTGCCTAGTTGAGAATAAAGAAGAGCAGCCCAAAGAATTGCCTCCGGCAGAACGGCGTGATCGCCTGCAGAAGCAAGCTGCCCGCCTTGCAGGTGTTGACTTGTCTGGTGTCAACGAGTGTTCGCATGCAAGCTATGACCTTTGCCTGAAGCTGATCTCTGACAACTGTGTCTCGTATCTTCAGCCTTCGAAGTTTACCTGCCGGCAGGCGGAACTGCGTATGGACAAGCCCCGCAAGGAACTTGATGTTGCAGCCCCGGGATCCTCCTCTTCCGTGCTCCTTATCAAGGACCGCGCTGCAGAGCAGCGTTGCGACGTGACGCATGCCCTTGATCTATTCCAGGCCCTGCACCGTCGCGCGTTGGCCATGGACCTTGTTGGACTTAGCACGTATGCTCGCGTGCAAGAGTGGAACTCCTTTCTTATGAACCACCTGCAGCAGCCTGTCCTGGCAGGATACCGCAGCCCCACTGTTCAGCAACTCCTTCACGCTGATAGAGCTGCCTGGGTCCGTTTGTCCGAGTTAACCCCAGCCGGGGTGCGTCGCAAGGCTACAGGTGAATTGCCGTTGGATAGCCTCTGGGCTGATTTGCAGAAGGACCCGCGCGTGGTCTTTCATCTTTTGCCGCTTCCTGACTCTTCGGGCAAGCATCCTGCGCCCGCCCCGCCGGGCGTTCCTGACCCCCCTGAGGGGCCCCCAGCCAAGAGACCCCGGAAGCCCAAAGGCAAGGGTAAAGGGAAGGACAAGCAAACCCCTACTGAGCCAGCCAACCTGCCTTCTGAGCTGCGAGGCCTCTCATCATGGACACGAACCGGGAAACGGCGCTGCTGGGGTTTTAACATGGCCGCAGGCTGTCCCGGCGCCAAAGCTGGACAAACTTGCAGCAAGGGCTTGCACGTTTGCATGCGGTGTGGAGGTATGCATGGGGCACATGTGTGCCCCAAGAAACCCGCTTGACTGGCGGAGCCCGCAATCACTTCATGTTCCCACCATCAGCCTGCGGCCCCTGTGGAAGAGGCTGCTGTGCCTGCTGGCTTGTTGCCGGTGGAGGTGTTACCTGCCCGGCCTGATGTTCCCCTTTCAGAAAGTGCAGCTCACCCTGGCGGTAGCAAGCAGCTAACTGTTTTCCATGCTATTGAAGTGTTTGCGGGCAGCGCTCGTCTCACTGTGGCACTTCGTGCCGTGGGCCTGCAAGATTCCTGTGGCGTCGATCATCGGATCCCCAGGCATTGCCCTTGTCCCATGGTCAAACTTGATCTCACTCGTGATTTTGATGTACAGCTTTTGCATGATATGATCGACAACCCTTTTTGCCTTTATGTGCATTTTGCACCACCGTGTGGCACGAGCTCCCGTGCTCGCCTGATCCAAGAGACCGATCACGATCCCGAACCGTGTCGGGATGATACCTTTCCTGATGGCCTCCCCGACCTTCCTGACCGTTTGGCTCAACGTGTGGCTGCGGCCAACCGCCTCTATGGCGTGACCGCTGCAGCCCTGAAACGGGCGGTTCTTGCCGGCAAGCTTGTCAGCTGCGAGAATCCCCTGAATTCTTTCATGTGGCAGACCACTGCGTGGCGTCAGGGCACTTCCGGTTTGTCCTTGCGGGAAGCTGTGTTTGACCATTGTTGCTACGGGGGCAACCGCCCCAAGCATACGTTGTGGGTGCACAACGTGCCAGCCTTCGACCAACTCAACCTCACGTGCCCTGGCGAGTCTGCCTCCCATAAGCATCTGCCTTGGGGTCGTGTGTCTAAGTTCCGCTATGCTACTAGTGAGGAGACCGCTTACCCGCTTGGGTTGTGCAAGGCGGTCGCCGCGCTCCTGCTTGAGGAGCTCTGCCAGCGTGGGTTCCAGCTGCCTGCTCGTTCCCTGTCAGATGAGGTTCGGCAGCAACATAGCGCGGCCCAGGTCAGTCTCGGCTACCAACCCCGTGGCAAGAAGGTTGCTCCTATGGTTGCTGAGTTCCGTGATGTGGTCGTTGTGACATCTGACCATGACTTCTTGCCTGCTTCAGCCAAGCTGCCTGCGGCCGTGCCTGTTCCGCCCTCAGCCTCGTGTGACCCGCCTTTGCCAGAGCTGCCCATGGGTTCTCGTATATTGCGTTGTGTTGCACTTGGGGGTGGGGAGACGCCGCGTTCTGCCCAGCCAAACGGTAGGAATCCGGGAAACCCGAACTGCCCCGTCGAGCAGTTCGCCTCTGTGTGCCTTCAACAGAAAACTATCTTGGCTGATGATGTAATTCAGCTGTTCCAGCTCTTGAAGTCGGATCGCTTGGCCAGAGGTGCTGGCCTGGATGATGAGTTTTCGTGGTCCACAGGGGCCTATGCACAGGGAGGGGTTACCGGGGTTAGGGCTAACCTGCGGCTCAACCCGGCTGTCAGTAATATGCTGTGTCAGTTCGTAAAGCAGCATGCACCAGGGCATCCGTTCTCAGCCATCATGCTTGGACGAAACCTTCAAGGAGGGGTTCATGTTGACAAAAACAATGCCCAAGGTTTCCCTAACTGTGTTTTAAAACTTTCATCTTTCGAGGGTGGAATTTGGATACACAATGAGCTTGGGGACGTGCCCTGCCCAGATCCGAACGTGCCTGACTTGATGGGCTGTGAGCTGAAGTTCGAGTCCAACCGGATCCTGTTTAACCCCCACCATAAGCACTGTGCAATGCCCAGGCGTGGGGCAACACGTGACATACTTGTTGCCTACACCACCAATCACACAGATCGCTTGACTGCAGACCAAACGGCTGAGCTGCAGTGTGTGGGGTTTGCTTTACCCGAACAACCAGGACACCAAGCCTCCTCACCGGCAGGGCCCGAGGAAGGCTCCCCCCCATTAGGTAGGGTTCCCGATAGGTTTAGGACGTGGGTTGGAGTACCGTGGACGTGCGATGAGTTCATCAAGCAAGCGCTTGAGGCTAAGCACCCACGTCTTATGAGCTCGGGAGTTCCACCTGAGTTGCAGCAAACTATTGACTTCTTGGCGTCGGAGGGCATGCACGCCGTTGGTGCCAGTAGGACTGAAGCTTTACGTCAGTGGCTAGGGCGAGCCGCAGAGCTCGACGAGCAAGAACGTGTGTATAAGGAGACACTGCCCAAGCACTGTGCGAAAACCTTGGGCAAGAAAAGGCTGCTTCTTTTCGGCGAGATGATTGAGGCTGCCGGCCACAATGATCCGTCGTTGGTTGCGGATATGTCTAAGGGTTTTGCTTTAGGAGGCCCGATCCCCTACTGTCCTGAGTTCCGCGCTAAGCGTACAGCTGCCACCATGGCGGTCGATGACCTGCGAGGGTCAGCACAACGAATGCGGAAGGGCATCCTAAACTCCACCAAGAGCTCAGGAGATGATGTGGTGGATGCTGAGACTTACCGAGTCACCTTGGACGAGGTGGAGCGGGGGTGGCTGGACGGGCCGCTGAAAGAGAGCGACTTGGGGGCCAGCTCTTTGTTGACCAGGCGCTTTGGCGTTGTGCAGAATAACAAAACACGGCCCATCGATAACTACCTTGAAAGTGGTTTGAATGCCACCTCTTCATCGTACGACACAATCACCGTGCACACCGCCGACTGCATAGCATCAGGTTTGGCCCGTCGACTGAGGGCCGATGCGAAGTGCAGGTTGCAGCAACTTCTCTTGAAGTCCTGGGACCTTCACAAGGCCTACAAAAACCTTCCGCTATCCCTGGAGGCACTAGAGGACAGCTTCTTGTGCGTCTACGACCCAAAAGGGAAATGTCCCCGAATTTTCCGACAAAAGGTTCTTCCGTTTGGATCACGGCACAGTGTGCACGCATTTTGCCGGGTGTCACTAGGGATATGGAAAGTCCTTGTAGTGTTGTTCTTGTGCCACATCAACGTTTATTTTGACGACTTTGTGGGTGTGGAGCTGGCCCCTCTGGCCCGCCTCTTCGACGTTGGTGTTTGCCTAGTATTCCGCTTGTTGGGGTGGGATGTCGCCGAAGACAAAGAGTCTGTGTTCGACTCCTGTGCAAAAGTGTTGGGGTTGAAGTTCGACTTGTCTGAGTCCCGTCTCGGACGTATCACTCTGTGTAATACGGAGTCGAGGCGAGACGAGATCTTCGAGGCCTTGTCCGACATCCTGTCGTCTGGTTACCTCACGCAAAAGGATGGCGAACGCATCAGGGGCCGACTCCAATTTGCTGAAAACCAGATAGCTGGAAAGGTTGCTGGAACAGCCTACAAACAACTGTCGCGGTTTGTGCTTCGAGGAGGAGGACACCTGGATGAGTGCACCAGGGTAGCCCTGCTAAGGTTGCGCGATCGAGTCAACTTTTCACCGCCCAGGGTGATCTGCGCCAACATCTTGACTACCATGCATCTTTATGTCGATGCCTCTTGTGAAGGTGATAACGTTGGCTTGGGAGGTGTTCTTGTTAATGAAGTGGGTTCGAAGATGGGCTTTTTCAGTGACCGCGCGTCTGAGCATGTGAGACGTCGCATGAATCCTGAGAGCGGCAACCCCATTTTCGAGTACGAATGCTTAGCCATCCTTGTCGGACTCAGGTTGTGGGCTCCGCTCATTCGCAGTACCAACCTCGTTGTGTTTACTGACAACGAGGGTGCCCTGGCCTGTATGGTTGCCGGAATTTCAAGCAACAAGTATGGAGAAGCGATTGCTCAGCATGTTCATGTGCTGTGTGACGAGCTTGGGCTTAACATCTGGTTTGAACGCGTGAACACCTGCTCAAACGTGGCAGATGCCCCCTCACGCGGCTCTAAAGATCCGGAGCTGGGCAAAGAATTCACGATCGATCTTGATACACTCGTTGATCACGCCTTTGAGTCTTGGGGGTTGTGAGAGGCATGATCATCTCCTGATGTCATGTCCCGTATCCAAAGCATTTGGATGCAGCACGCATGCCGTAGGTATGGTGCGCTGGGAGTTCTACTCGAACTTTCCCCAAGATCTTCTGCCACCGGCATGAAAAAGGTGTGATTGTGAATGAGTCTGATTGATTAGTGTTTTGCATCCGGTTTTGAAATAGATTCTTGATTCACTTACTTCACCAGAGATGAAGTGAGATTGAATTTTCCCTAAACAAGATATACATTTGATCTCCAGTTGAAAGCAAATGCAATTTACAGCAAACAGAAATAAGACGGCCTTCCATCGCGATGGACAAGGCATTATTTCTGTAGCTGTGTCACGAAATTTTTCTTGGGGAAAAATTTCTGGTTGCATTTGCGGTGTTTTGTTTTAAAACGGGACGTGTCCATTTGTGATGCACACACATGCACGCATCATGACATTTAAAAATGGCAAGTGAAGCACGAGCCCATTTTCTTGAATGCAGATGTCATGTTTTGTGAAACAACATGTGATATCTGCAGCACCTCGGTTCGAGTAAGGTGCACAGAAAAATTTTTGTCTCCCACCCAGCCCACCCGGGGTTGTGAGAGGCATGATCATCTCCTGATGTCATGTCCCGTATCCAAAGCATTTGGCTGCAGCACGCATGCCGTAGGTGTGGTGCGCTGGGAGTTCTACTCGAACTTTCCCCAAGATCTTCTGCCACCGGCATGAAAAAGGTGTGATTGTGAATGAGTCTGATTGATTAGTGTTTTGCATCCGGTTTTGAAATAGATTCTTGATTCACTTACTTCACCAGAGATGAAGTGAGATTGAATTTTCCCTAAACAAGATATACATTTGATCTCCAGTTGAAAGCAAATGCAATTTACAGCAAACAGAAATAAAAGCGGGAAGTTCTTTACCGCGCACTTAAGCAAGAAGGATGGGGGAGCCCCTCTTTCACTTCCAACTCCTACTCGGGCACCATTGCTAGTCTGCAAACGCGCGGCTTCGTCCTGGAGCCCTTGCCCAATGCTGTGTATTGTGTCCCCTTCCAGCCGGTGAGGGAAGGAGATGGGGTCGCCCAGTACCTCACCTGCTTGCTAGGGGATACCAGCATTAGGACACCGCCCAAGCGGGGATCTGCTCAACGCGCTGACCCGGCTTTCGAACACAAGGCCGGCATAATGCGAGCCCCCCGCGGTCTTCACCTCCTACCTGTTCGTACGGGTAAGGCTGCCTCCGAAACTGCGATTGATGTGGACTCTCCGGGAAACAGCCCTGTGCCCGCAGGTAGTCACAGTCCCGACGTGGTAGCTGCTACTGCGGTCGAGGTTCTTACGCCGCTGCAGTCACCAGCCCAAAGCGAGGCTATCACCAACGCGCGCCATGGTGAGCGGTGGGGTACACCATGGCTCAAGCCTCGGGCCGCGGGGGGCTCCATTGCGGCAGCTGTCAGCCCACCTCCGGCAGCTAAACGGGACGTTTCCCGAACACCCTGCGGCACCCCAACGCGGGAGAGAGGACCACTGAAGAAGAGCGCCTTCTCGCAAGCGAGACAGCACCTTATTTTCATTTTATACTTTTGCAATTCATGGGTGCATGAATTTTCATGAACATGATTGATTTGTTCACCATGTGAATTTTGATCTCTCCGTCGCAGTGTGGCTGTGTGCAGCTCAGAGGATCAAAATTTTGTGGGCTCCGCTAATCTCGTAAGGGTGCCGCTGCTCTAGAGGTCCTGGGCGCTAAGGGTCTTCCCTCTAGGGGTCGTGCAAGCTGAGACCCCGGGTGGTCTCAGCGGATGGACACCCGCTCGTCTTCGAGCGATTCGAGCATCAGCTGGGATTGGCCGCCTCTGCCTCAGCGTGCTGCATTTCGACCAGTCCTCATCCGGCCTCGCTGCTTCCATCTTGACCTGCTTGAGCGCCGAGTGGCTGCGCCCCCTGACCTTTTCAGTTACGTGCTCGAGAGCTCCTTTTCCGGGGTTCTGTTGTCAACTGCGGAGGGCTCCAGGGTTTTCTTGTGCCTTAATCCCCAGGCTTGGTTCCGTTTGGCTTGCAGTGGCCACAGGATCCACGCGTGCACCCGACAGCTTTTGCAGCTGTCTGCTTGATCAGAGTGCCGTCTGATGTCCGCGCCCGGCTCAAGTTCCGCACCGCCCATGTCTGCATCAGCTTCTCAAGGGGGGGAGGTTAGCTGCTTTGACATCGACAGGTTGCTTGTGGAGGCACAGCTTGCTGCAATTCCTGACAACATGCCTAAATTCCCTTGGGAAACCGGATCGTTCAAGGCCATCTTTGGTGAGGGAATGGCCGGTGTGTTGTCTCCACCAGTGCTGAGGCAACCTTCTCTTGTGCCCATACCTGGGGTTGCCTCCCCTCCGCCGGAACCTGCGCCCGTGCAGAGTGCTTCTGGGAAACGCAAGCATGCGCATTTGTTTCATGAGTGTTCTGCTAAAGCCTCCAGAGATGAAAATGCTGACAGTGATGAGCATTTGTGGAACATCGCTTTGAGCAAGTGGGTTACTGTGTTCATTTTGTGCGAACACCAGGGAAGCACGGGTGCCATGCTTCAGGACAGCTTCTGGTCCGAGGACGGCACTGCTCGGGAAGATATCATCCGTGATGTCTTGGGGTTGAAGGCTCCGAGAACAGCGTCGAAGAGAGCCAATGACTTGTTGCGTTGTTTCCGGTGGCATGTAGAGCAAGGCAAGTCCCCGTGGCCCTGGAGCATCAAGTCTCTTTCGTGTTATATCGAGTCACTAAAGGGTACTAAAGGGTATGCAAGTGCCACTGCTACTCTGTTTCAGGCCATCAATTTTGCGCATCATGTGGTCGACATCCCCTTTAGTGCTGAGATCTTGAGCGACAGGCGCCTTCAGGGCAGGGCGAAGAGGCTGATTGCTGATAGTGGTCCCCTGAAGCAAGCCACAGCATTGCGTGTTGAGCAAGTCATCCAACTTGAAATTCGAACGACCTCCAGCGAGACTTGTGTGCAAGACAAGTTCCTTTTGGGCGGGATGCTTTTCACGCTATACTCTAGATCGAGGTGGTCCGATCATCGCTTGCTTGATTTTATCTTGTTTGATGGATGTGGGGCTCCTACTGAAGGTTTTATTGAAGCACAGACCTCCCATCACAAGACTAGGAATTGCAAGAAAGCTGCCAAGCGTGCCATGCCACTGGTTGCCCCCATGTTCAGCTTGTCAGGCCATGACTGGGCCAGTGCATGGTACCAAGCAGGCGTCGCACTTGGGTTTCCGTGGGATGCATCCCCCTTAGGACCTTTGGTGAGGGTTCCGGGTTTTTCAGGGGTCTCTAAGCGGAAATGCAGCAGCGCAGAGGCGTCAGCCATCCTACGGAGTGCCTTGGAAGTGGATGCTTCTTCAGGGGTATCATCACACTCCCTCAAGGTCACCACTCTGAACTGGTGTGGCAAGAGGGGTTTGCCCGAGTTCGATTGTTTGATGTTGGGTCACCATGTCACTGGGTCCAAATCGCGTGCGGTCTACTCACGTGAACTTCTCAGCGCACCGCTGCGCTCCTATGTCGCCATGCTGAAGGAAATCAAAGCAGGGGTGTTCAAACCAGATGCCTCCAGGTCGGGTTGGTTGTCCGACTGCGCCGCTTTTGCACCTTCACATGCAGACTTTCGTTTTGATAACCGGAAGCGACGTGGGATCCTTGCTAGTGAACCTGCCGTGTCTCCCAGCGACATGTTGGGCCCAGATGCAGGTGCGTGCGCCCCTCGCTCCCCACAGGAGTTTCCGGAGAGCCCGCTTCTTGCACAGGATGCACCTGGCGAGTTTATGGAAGGTGGAGTTCGGGATCATGCTGATGATGACGTTGATGAGACATCCCCTCCCTCCTGGGGGGGTGCCTTGCCTGACAACACTGCCCTGCCCGGTGTTGAGTCTGAGCGCGATGCAGGGGATGCAAGTAGCGATGAGTCAGATAGCAGTAGCTCAAGTGACAGCAACGCGTCCTCAGGGCAATCGATTGCCGAGGAGGGCATCCTTCGGAATGCCGGAGCTGCCCAAAGTTTTGATGTGCCGGGCCCGTTATGGCAGCACAGAGGTTCAAAGATGCTGCACAAGGCGGTGCAAGGCTCGGAGATGACCAAGTGCTCGCGTAGAACGGGTGGGAATGCCTACCTGTATCTTCCTGAGGGCTCTGTGTCGAAATGGACACGCTGCTCGACATGTTTTCGTGGTGAACTGATCACCTCGAAAGGCGGTATGGTGGCTGCCTTAGACGCGCTGAGCGCACCCAGAGCATCCACATGATGGTGTGGAACGAGGGGAGCCGATGCAATTTTGTTTTCTGAACGTGGCTGAACGCAGCTAAAGAAACTCGTGTGCGAGTCGCTTGCATTTGATCGTGCTTGGATTTGATATATGCCGTCCACTTTGAGTGCACTCGCGTGTGGTGGTGTGCAGCCGAGTCTTGACAGTGATGTTTGTGGATTTGGTTTAGGAACGCATTACACTTGTGCTGCCTGTTATGAACTGATACAAACCACCTGGATTGGACTGCTTGCTCAGCGTGCATCTTCATAAGGCATTTTGCCTCAAGACAGCAACATGGCGGCCACTTCCGTGTTGGCATCGACGCCTGCTTTGGAGAAGCAATGTGAAAAGGTCGGCCTCTCTGATGAATGGACCAAGGCGATGATCGCTGCGCAAGTTGACACCTTGTCCAAGGTCTCCTATGCAGTCAGCTTACCAGGCACGCCCGCGACTGACACCAACATCGAGGACTTTGCTGGCAAACTTCGACCAGGTGTTGCTCTCTCTTTGGGCGACAATGCAGCACTTAAGCGCTTGGTCTTTGAAGCTCAGACACTTTGCATCGCCGAGCTTCGGAGTTCGGTGCAGGTTGGTGAAGATGCTCCACGCAAGCTGCCGGCTGCAGAACGTGCTCTGCGGATAGAGCAGCAAGCAGCTCGCTTGAAGGGACTGCCTCTGGCCAAAGGTGCATGGCAATGTGCGCACAGCCTCTACGATCGTTTTGCTCACATGAGAGAGACCGAAGAGCTTCGCTTTGTCCCACCTGATGAATGCATCACCCGGGATCAGGAGTTGGCCGGCAGCAAGGCACCGAAGTCTGTGCAGCTGGATGCAAGCAAGTCGGGCCTCATCGTGAAGGATGAGGAAATCACCAATACAATGAACATCACCTCAGATCACGAGCTTTACCTGAGTTTCATGAGGCGCGCCTTGGCCATGGATCTCGTGGGCCTCGCCAGCTTTGATGTGATGCAGAAGTGGATCGAGCGTCTGTTCGATGTGATGAACCAGGATCCACCTCCAAACTTCTCCCGGGTCTCTCGTGCCCAGGTCCTTCGTGCGGATCGCCAAGTCTTCGTCGAGCTGGCCCGTAGAGCCAATGGAGGGCTGAAAGCCCTCACCGATGGCTCGCTGCCACTGGATGCAAAGTTTCGCAATTTGCCGGGCAACACTGAGATCATGTACTTCTTGCTGCCGACACCGGAGAAGGGCAAGGGCAAAGGCAAAGGCAAGGGAGACAAGCGCAAGCATTCGGGCGATGGCGATGAAGGTGGCGACAAGAAGAAGGCCAAGACCACTCGCGATCCCGTGCCCAAGGAGCTTCAGGGTTGCCATAGCAGGACTCCCAAGAATAAGCCGATTTGTTTCAACTATAACTTGGGCAAGTGCAAAAAGGGCAAAGCCTGCAAGTTCGAGCATGTGTGTTGCAGACCCAATTGCTATGGCAAGCACCCCTTCTCCCAGTGCCCGAAAGCCAATGAAGCTGCTGACGTTGCTACTTCTGCTGAGTGACTATCAGCAGACCTGTGCACAGGCGACCTTGTGGCTGTCGCTGTTCCTACATCGTCCACAGATGATGTCAATTTTCCTTGTTCTGCCGTTGACCGTGCTTCGTTGCCTGCTGATTTTGGTGTGCAAAGCCAGGTGCCTCGGCTTGTTAAACCCGTCACGCAATGTGTGGGCGAGACTCCGCGAGGTTTTTGCCTTGAGGTCTTTGCTAAACATGCCCAATTCACGGCTGCAGTGCGTCGTGCTTTGCCTTGTTCCTTTGGGGTGGGTTACGGGTGTTCTGCCACATCACGTGCCCCCATCGTTCATGCCGATCTCTTGAGCCCTGCAGGGCTTGCGCTGTGTGCCTCATGGGCACGTGAGGAACTGTGCTTGTGGGTGCACATTCGGTGTCCATCTACTGTCTTCCCGATTGCACACAAAGCCCACTTAAGCCCTTTGGGTGATGATGCTTCCGCTGTGTTGTCTTTGACCCGCCAACTCATTAAACACTGCGACGACACCTCTACCCCTTGGTCCCTTGAGTGTCGTGAGCGATCTCTGTTTTGGCAAGATGAGTGGGCCAGCTCCCTGCCGTCCCTTACTGTCAACATGTGCCAGTTTGGCCATATGCACCGCTCGCCTGTCAGGTTGGCCACTCGTCATCCGGAAGCATTCCGTCATTTGGCTATTCCATGTCAGCATGTGCATGTGTCCACTGCCACAACCACCAATCGTGTGCCTCCAGAGGCTGTTGCTGCCTTTTACGATGCTGTGGGGACTGCCATTCTCGGGTTCTTGCGGTTCCCGCCCCTCGCTCCCGGCCCCACTCCCTTGCATTTGGCACAGGTGGCTGCCGGCTTGCAGCCCCGACGTTCGCACCTTTGCCTGGTGCCTGAGTTTAAGTGCATTGCCAATGTTCGCCTCCCGGAGCTGCCCCCTCTTCAGGACGGCAAACTGAAGCACGAGCTGGTCGTGGGTGACGTGTGCGTGCCTGCAGGATCCAAGCACTTACTCCCTGGTTCTCAACGGGGGAAGGATGGCCAAGGAGCAAGTGCAGCAGTGGGGGGATCCGATTCTCCCTTCTGTGGACCTTCCCTTCCTCACCCTAAGTTAACTACGGCCTCGACGTCTGCGGCCCACTCCTTTTCCCCTAAGCTCTCTAAGCTGCCCATGGTCACGAGTTCTGAGACCGGGCGCCCTAACCCACAGAAGGTGAGTGCTGCATCGTGTGTGGACACAAATCAGGATGTTTTCTCGCATGAAGCTGAGCTGGCTGCCAGCCGTTTGGGCGATGTGCCCACACGGGAGGAGCTCTTGAGCATATTTGCTTTGCATGATGCTGACCCTTCTAAACGCATGGCCGGGATTCGCGCGAGCGAAAAATCTTGGTCATCAGGTGCTTATGCCATGGGAGGCTGTGTCGGCGTCCGAAAGAATGCTTCCATGTTCCCTGTGTTCACCCGAGCACTGGTCCGGTTCCTCAGGCATCAGATCCCCGATGCCAGGTTTTCATGCGTTGCTATCTTTTGCGATATGTTACAGGGCATGCACAAAGATATGTGCAATCAAGAGGGTACACTCAACTATGGGGTTGCACTTTCGGACTTTTCGGAAGGGTTTGTGTGGGCTCACGACCCGGCGGGCAAAGTTCACAAGCACACGCCATCAGGTAAGCTGCCGGGGGTGTTGCACGACATTGCAAAAGCCCCGGTGCGCTTTGATGCGAGAAAGTTTCATTGCGTCATGCCGTGGCATGGACAAAGAGTCGTGGTGATTGGCTACACACCGCAAAGAGGTTGTGCCCTCAGTGCCAAAGAGGTTCGTTATCTGCTTAGCTTAGGCTTTCCGTTGCCGTGGGTCGACACGCCGTCTCCTACTGCGCCTCCAGTCCACGATGCACCTGTCGAGCAACGCTTGGAAAATGTCGCCGACTCTGGTCCCGTGCACTCTAAGCTACCTTGTGCTTCTGCGGCTGCATGCGATACCCACTTGTACACCTTCGGTGTTTACCACTCTGAAGCCGAGTTCGTCCGCAAGGCCGTGCAGGTGGGGCATCCGAGGAGCCTCTATGGTAGCTTGCCCCAAGCCATGGAGGAGTGTATCGATGCGTTGCTTGTCATGCCTGAGGCTTCAGTTGTCACTAAGCGTGCGGCATGGCTTGCGCATTGGACGGCTCGTGCCAAGGCCATCCAGGAGAACCCCGATCCTGATTGGCACATCCAAGATCCTGCAATGCGCGCTATCCTTGGACGAAAGAGGCTGCAGCTGCTTGATGAGATCCTTTTATCGGAGGGTTACGGCGATTGCACACTAGCTAGGGACATGCACCATGGTTTTGACTTAGTGGGAGTGGCGCCGCCTTCTGGTGTGCTGCCTGGCAAGGTCACCCCTGCTTCTCTTGAGCCTGAGGCCCTTAGCGCCAATGCGTGTCGTGCCAATGATGCCTTGCGTGCAAGTTTGCGTTCTTGTGGCGATCTGGAGCTCGATGAGAAGCTTTGGGAGAAGACCCTGCTGGAGGTCGAACAAGGATGGTTGCAGGGACCGCTCGAGTGGTCTGACTTAGGCCCGGGGGAGATAGCATCACCCCGCTTTCCTTTGTTGCAGAATGGCAAAGTGCGCCCGATCGACGACTACTCTCGATCTGGTGTCAATAGTTGCGTAACCACACTTGAGCAGCCAACCGTGGACACTGCCGACGTGGCAGCCGCCATGTTCAGCAAACTCTCGAACGGCTTGTTGCGCAAGGGGAGGTCTGGTGCTCTCCTAGGTAGGTCTTACGACTTGACATCCGCATATCGACAGCTATGTGTGTCGAGGGAGTCGTCACGCTTTGCCATAGTGGCAGTGTTCTGCCCAAAGGATGGGAAATCATACCTATTTCGCCAGCCTTGCCTACCATTTGGGTCGCGTGCATCAGTCAATGGTTTCATTAGGTGCTCGAGGTGCATCCAGTGGATCGCACTCCGGTGCTTGCTTGTGCCGCTGACGTCCTATTACGACGACTTCATATCTGCGTCAACATGCACTCTTGCTGCCAACACCGACACGACCATGGCGATGCTGTTTCGCCTATTGGGCTGGCAGTATGATGAGGTCGGTCCAAAGGCTGACGTTTTTAGTGACCGGGTTGAAGCCCTCGGAGTGGCCTTTGATCTTTCCGAGACATGTTCCGGTGTGGTCATCGTGGACAACACCCTCAGAAGGAAAGATGCTCTAGACAGCCTAGTCAGCGAAGCACTTGCAAGGGGGACCCTCAATCATTCTCAATCGCTCGAGATGCGCGGCAAGCTGGCCTTCGCTGATGCACAGGTCCTCGGTCACTCGGGGAAATTTGCTCTGAAGTTGCTGTCTGCGCATACCCATGCGATTCCTTTCAAGACGCGCATTGCTGATGACTTGAGCCGCGCTCTGAAGTACTTGAGACAAAGAATCGTTGAGGGCTCTCCCCGGCGTGTGTTACCAACTGCCAAGGACACGTGGTTCCTTTTTACCGATGCATGTTTCCACGACGCTGGTGATGGTGGTTTAGGCGGGGTGCTGGTGTCTTCCCTAGGTTCGGTGAAGTCGTGGTATTGCCTTCCTTTGTCAGCCGATGACATCCAGCCTCTCATTTCCCACACAGCCCGCACCGGGATTGGCGAACTCGAGACAATGGCGACCTTACTTGGCATCCAGCTATGGAGGGGCCATCTACGGAGCACCAACGTGGTAGCTTTCAATGACAACGAAGGTGCCAAGTTCGCCTTGGTCAAGGGTTACTCCAAATCCATGTCAGTCACCAGGATTTGCCACGTGTGTGCGACTGTTTGTGAGACCGACATGATCATGCCTTGGTTCTGTCGTGTTCCCTCAGCATCCAACATTGCCGATCCGCCTTCACGCAGTATGTCCTGCGATGCCTTACCCGAAACCTTCAAGCTGCCCTGCGATCAGGTGCGGCGCGCGTACCTTAGCTTGAGGGGTCGAGTCTGCAGTATGCTCTCGTAGCCTGGATGGGGGTGTAGGTGGCAACTCGAGCGACTGCGCTCTCTGGCAGCAGAGATTTTGGGAGTGCCCACTTTCTCTTGCTATATGCAAGCACTCTTCACCGTGCCACGCCCCCGTCTGTGTAAAAAGAGAAGGGTTGTCCGAGTGATTGCATGCTTTCATTTCATGTTCTTGTCTCTCACTCTTTTGCTGGGGGATGTGATGTTTTATCTTATTGCTTCCGTGTTTTTAGTTGATCGACAACTTGGCGATCTAAACTCTGGTGTGCCTTCCCAAGTATACCGAAAATAAGAGCGCCTTCTCGCAAGCGAGACAGCACCTTATTTTCATTTTATACTTTTGCAATTCATGGGTGCATGAATTTTCATGAACATGATTGATTTGTTCACCATGTGAATTTTGATCTCTCCGTCGCAGTGTGGCTGTGTGCAGCTCAGAGGATCAAAATTTTGTCCCGCCCGCCCTCCCTGATTGGGGGTGTAGGTGGCAACTCGAGCGACTGCGCTCTCTGGCAGCAGAGATTTTGGGAGTGCCCACTTTCTCTTGCTATATGCAAGCACTCTTCACCGTGCCACGCCCCCGTCTGTGTAAAAAGAGAAGGGTTGTCCGAGTGATTGCATGCTTTCATTTCATGTTCTTGTCTCTCACTCTTTTGCTGGGGGGATGTGATGTTTTATCTTATTGCTTCCGTGTTTTTAGTTGATCGACAACTTGGCGATCTAAACTCTGGTGTGCCTTCCCAAGTATACCGAAAATAAGGAGCCTGCAACGACAGAGCCTGCGGTTGTGCCGGTCGTGAGTCCTAGTGCTCTGGATGCTTGTGTGACGACTCCCTCTGGTGAAGTTGCCCACAGGATCGGAGGGAGTAGCGCCGCCTCGTGTCCACCCCGTAGTGGAGGCAACATTAGGGACCCACCGCCTGGCGTACGACGTCCACCCAGCCCCCGGACACGGCCCACGCACGCAACATTTCCGGAGGGGATTAGGACAGTTGAGGCATCACAGCCCCCTTGCGCTAAGTCTCCCACGGACTCACTTGGCCTGACGGAACCTAAATCGTATCTCCCTATGCCTCCCCATGGCCCGACGCCCATCCCCGCCAGGCCTGTGCCCGCTGTCCAAGCTCGCAAGGAAAGTCGGCCTCTCGTTTTGGACAAAGACGGCTCTCAGCATCTGGAACCACCAAAAGCCAAGCCTCGAGGGCCTAGCGAGCCCAGCGGCACCCGCGACCCCAGCGCCCCAGCCTGTGCACCCATCATGCAGAGCAACACAGGCTCAGTCTGTGATCTCATGTGGCGCGCACTTGCAGCGGGACATCACTTTGGTAAGAATGTCAAACCTCGGCCCTACATGAGCCTGCGTGACTCGCAACACCTCACAACACACTGCCAGCAGCTTCGGGCATATAGGGCCTATGAGGTGTTTTTGAACGGCATACCGAACCAGCTGCAAGACTCGGACATGCTGATCGGAATTGCGGACACGCTACTGCATCTGCCTGAAACGTTTCCGGCGGCGTATTTGAAGGTTTATGACCCTATCATCACGCAGTGTCTTAGACTGTCGGGGGCATTGCAGCATTTCGACCTTGCTGTAATGTTGGATTGCCCGGTCCCGCAGCTGGACAAAGCAAGGCTTTCGGAGTCCCTGGTGGGGTATGGCTTTCTTACCACAGCGCAGTACATCGCGGATCTTTTCTCTGCGGTGTCGGAAGCGAGTGTCATCAATGCCAGTTTTCCTGCAATGCTCAGCTACGCTGACCCAGATTATTGGCTGGGTGCACTTCTGCTCGCATTCGAGTCCCACCAAAAAGGTCCCCTGGAGCGAACGGCCGGGCTGCCCATTGTTATTGGTTTTCCTGAATCTGACAATAAAATTACTGACCTGCAGATCAATGTGCCGCCCGCAGCCATGGTGGCCTTCTTAGCTGGCCGCGCTTATCGGTGTCCCAAGTGCCCTACTACCAAATATGTGATGGACGCGCACAGTGGACTGCCACAAGTCACTGGCCAAGCCTCCCAAGAAGCCTTGCAGGCATGGGCCGCAGCTGCTAAGCACACGGACGTGGAAAAGGCCAGGCTTGCCCAGCCCAACCTGAATACGTTCCTAGGCATCACGCTGCAGGGCACAGAGACACTTGGGCAAAGGCACTATCAAGAATTTAGGCCGGACCTCCCCCCTGCCCATTTCCTTGACGCCGTCCGGCTTGCCCTTGCGGCCTCGGTGGCCAACCAAAACATTGAACACTTTTGGTCAGTTTATAACTTGGAATGGCCTGACACTTTTCACAGAATGGCTGTTTTTCTACGGCGAGTGTTGCCCCTAGAGTGCTTGCTCTCCTCGCCCTTGGCTGCGCCTGTGGAAGTGAACACTGCGGCAGCCTCGCCGGAGGTCGTCAGCATCTCTTCTGAAACTAACGAAGGTTCTCCCTGCCCGATGGATGACATGTCGGATGCGGAGGACGAACCCGAGGCACAGGTGAATGATTGGCGCTTCTCGGAGCTGCGAACCACTGACCTTGCAGCTTTGCGAGAAGTGGATGTCTCAGCCCCTTTCCGACTGCCAGTCATCTTCGATGCGCATTGGAAAGGGATCAGCACCACACCCACCAAGCATGGGCCAAAACGTCCCCGAAATGAGTGGTATGACGCAGCCACTGCTCACTGGGCTGCCATTAAGGGGCTCATGCGGGCTAAACATCAAACCAAGCAGCGACTCAACAGCTTCTGGTTTAAGATGTACTGCCATGGCACCTCCAAGGACCCTGATCCTTCGGCCCTACGTGCGGCAGTTACCTCCTTCCCCTATCAGTATAAGGACGAAGGTGTTGTGCAGTACCGGCAAATCCAGGAAGCTGTCCGGGTGATGTGGCTCGCGGCCCAAACCTCAATGACAAGATACAGAGGTATCCCCATTCCGGACGGCATCCCTGAGTGGGGGGTTGATGAGCAAGAGCTGCCTCCAATGCAGGTCATGCCCAGCCGTACGCGTTCCCATACCACCTCAGATGGCCATCGCTCTCGGCGTCCGGACTGGGAGGGCTCCTGGCAATAGACAGCAAGCTGTCATCTGAGGGCTCCTACTGACGCCATGAACGCGCCATTGAGTCCTTTCATGGCATGCTGCCTAGCGTGATGTGAGCCCTCGCATCTCCTCGCCGATACATGCCGCAAGACTACCTCGGGGTATTCTTGGTTTGGCAACCCTCTCGTGGTCTATGCCACGGATTGGATCGTGCTTGTTTTGTGTGTGTGCTCACTGCCTGCACCTGTGAACACCCTTCTGTGTCGGCCCTGCGTTGTGCCTATGGTGACGGGGGGCCTTTCTTTCGTGGTTGCTCCACTGGCCATCTGCCACGGACTGCCCTGGGCCGATCCTGCCTGGATGTTCCGGCTCTGTCATCGGTAAAACGGCCAATCTTCCTTTCCTCTGCCCCCTCTAGGTGGGCAGGTTGCCTGCGTCATGCCAATTGGGAGAGACCAGCTAGGGGATGCTGCTTCTGGGCTGTGGACACTTCTACGCGGAGATCAGGTTTCCACTTCCCTGGCAATGTGCCAGCGAGCACCTGTGGACAACCTGGCCTTCACGAGAGCCATTCTCGCCTGTGCTTGGGTTGCTGCGGGGTTCCCTGTCCTGCTTGGGTGTATATCTCTGCTTGCGTCAAAGCAGCCATACATGACTACCTCCCCATCGGTAGGTGGCCAAGCGTGATGTGAGCCCTCACATCTCCTCACCGACGTCTGTCAGTTTGGGCATGGACGGGCTGATTCTGGGTATTGAACCCTCAACCCTCACCGGCCAAGGAGATAGTTGCTTGGCCTTGAGTGCGAAGTTTCGACTGGGGGATTCTCCCGCTTCCTGCGGGGCTGGTGGGGTCCCCGCCTGCTTTGGTTTACCTGATGGCTCTAAGTGGAACGAAGCAGTCAAGCCTGCTTTGGCCGGCGGACGAGCTCTTGTGAGTCAAAGAACGTTGCGCTTTATGCTCGGAGAGGCTCCACTGGCTGACCACCATGGAGCACTCTGGGCTGGTCCTACCCCTTTGTTCTTGCCGTTAAGTCCCCACTGGCTGACCACCATGGGGCAACTTTATACTTCGGAACACGAAGGTTGACACCTACAACGTTCCGTGCTGAGGCACGACTTTGCTCCACCTGTGATGGCGAAACTGTGAACCTTCTCGTGAACGGCCTTGGCTGGCGCTGAATGTATTCGCATTGGTGGCTGCATGACGGTGATGTGAGCCCTCCCATCTCCTTACCGACGTACCTCGCGGGTTTGGGTGAAGGGACCTGATGCGTGCCGATGCGCAGACCAGTGCCAAAGTGGCGTGGCCTTGTGTGAGATGCCTGGACTGGGAGGTCCCTCGGTGTCATTAAAACCCTGTGGCGTTAAGGGTTTGGTAACTCGCCGTGGACTCTCCCCGTGGAATCGGTAACTGCTGCTACTCTCGCCTCCCCTCTGACCGTGCGCGGGCGCCTCTGAGGGTGGGCCCTTGTGCGCCAGGTAATCGGTAGCTGCTGCTACTCTCGCCCCCCCCTCTGGCCGTGCGCGGGCACCTTTGAGGGTGGGCACTTGCGCTCCAGGTTGACTGGTGAACCCTGTGCTCGGAGCTACTCCACTGGCTGACCACCATGGAGTGCCCTGGGCCGGTCTTGCCTGGATTGTTCTTGCTGTTAAGTCCCCACTGGCTGACCACCATGGGGCATATGCACATCTTTCATCCCCCCTTGGGAGTCTGACTTGCAACTTCCTTTCGCCATTGAGTGTTGGTTGTCTTTCCTTGACAACGATTAAGCGATCCGAACCTCGTCTGATGACCTCGGGTTGACTAACCGCTGTCGCACCAGTGGCTACATGATGGTGATTTTGTGAATCTGGCAACGTCGCATTTTGCGAATCCCCCACAAGCTCTGTGCTTCCTTGTGCACCGGGACTTCATTGACGACCTCGAGTACTGAGTCCGTGGGGTATCTAGTAGTTTAGCTCGATTGCTCGCTTTGTTTCTTCGGTGTCTGTTCTTTGGTGGTTTCGTGTTGTGTCTGGCGGGTTGTGTGCGCTGACTCTGTTTCACCCTTTTCGTCGAGCCCAACAAGACCGGCCTACTGTGCTACTGATGTAGTAAAGAGGCGCCAGTCCAAAAAAAAAAAGTGTGCCATGGGAAAAATGTGTGGCAAATGCACTGGCTGCAAGGTTTCGCCAGCATTGCATGGAAAGAAAATCGAATGCCAACAATGCCTGGGTTCCGTTCTTGGAGCTCTACCCCACGCAGGATGAGCATTTGCGTAAGGTTTTGCAGCCTTTTGAGGTATGCTGGTGCGACGGTGTTGATCTTCCGACGAAAGAAGCCACGGTTTTAGACGAGGTTGGGCGAGCCATCAAGTGCAACTCTGCCTGTGCCGGAGCTCACCACGACTTGCTGAATACATGGCTGCGCAGTGCCGCTACGGCAGCATCAAGGGAGCCGCCGACTTGGACGGGACAAGCCAAGCCAAAGCCAGGAAGCCGCTGAGGGGTGAAACCGTTCAGGACATGCCCAATGTGCTGCTCAAAATCTGCAGCGAGGCCAAAGCGGGCTATCAGGAGTTTCAAAGCGAACCTTGGAAAGATCGTCAGGACCAGCGCAGATACAGTCAGCGAGATCATTGCACAGCTGGAGTGTCTTCGCCTCTTGCGCTAAAAAGGGCTGAGCGCTCGTGCAGACTCCTGCTGCCCGTTCGGAGACATAGTGCTGAGAGATAGGTGCAAAAACTTGGCCTCGCAGCTCTCACTTGACAGGTCCCTGACACGAGCCGTCGCTGGATCTCTCTTCGTGGCTATGATCCATGAGTACACGCGGTGTGGGTGGCCTGGCCCTCCAAGGACAAGCTGCCGGACCCCTACCCCCCCCCCCCCCCCCCGCGTTTAGGGGGTAAGGAGGGAAAAAGGGAGGTTTTCACCTCCAGAAACCTGCACGCCGCCAGGGTCGGCGGACCCTAAACCCTAAACCCTAAAGGCTTGCGGGGCCCAGCTGGCGTAGCACCTTTCAAGTCTTGGAAACGTTTAGGGCTTCAGGGTTTAGGGATTTGAGGGGTTGAGCTGGGGTTGAGAAAGTTCAGGGCCTGCGTGGCGGACATGTTCCTCTCGGGCGATATATTGAGTGACGAAGGACCAGGTGAAACTTCTTTCTGCTGTGGTCGGGGTTGCCATGGTTTGAAGTCGCGTGACATTATCTTGTTATTTAGAGCTTTCAAGCTCTCGACGTGCAGAGGGTTGCGTACAGCTTGCTGCTGGCTTGCAACACCTTTTACTGGACCGTTGGAATCCTGCAATGTTCCTTCGAGTCTGCAGCGCTCATCGTCGGAATCGAGTCTTGCAGTACTCATAGGTGTGTTGAGTCTGCCAGCATCGGTGAAATTTCGGCTAGTCTTTTGGAATCTTTCTGGAATCTTTCGAGTCTTTGTGGAGTCATTTTGTCTTTGTGGAGTTTTGCGGAGGGGGTTTGGCGGGAGTTTTTTCGAAGTGTTTGTGGAATCCCTCCTGTTACGATAAATATTTGAGTCTCTGGACTTAGAAACTCCGTCTCTACCGCAGTCTCTCCTGCAGTTTGCGGTAGTTCAGACGCACTTGACCTCATCCAGTGGAAGTCGAACCTCCAAACTCCGACCCCGCCAGGCCACACCATGGCCCAAAAGATTTTGCGCGCATTTTACGGGCACTTTTGACCCTTCTAAAAGCCAGCCCTAAGCCCCCAGGACCGCGTTTTGGAACGAGTTCCCGCCAAATCAGGGAGGAAGGACTTGCCCCCACAACCAAACAGCCAGAGGCCACGCCACAACAGAGGCCAGTTTTTGGAAACAGATACAAGAGAGAGGTGGGAATGCGAGTAATGGGGTAGTTGTGGTTGTGATGTCATGTGTAGTCGTGAATTCTGTTTGGAATGGCGCGTCATGGTGAGCAATGGTGTGAATTGGCGGGTAAAGCTTCGAACGGTGGGCGGGCAATGGTGGGAATGGTAATGGTAGGAATGGTGGATTACGGTTGACGGGGCGTTTACATGCGTCTGGGGGCGGTGAGTAATGCTAGGTCATTGAAGGTGTGGGAATGGTAGGTATTGGTGGGCATGGTGGGTAGTTGGAGTGGCTAGTGGTGGGTAATGGCGGCTGGTAATGGTGGGAATGGTCCGGTGGGTAGTGGTGCGAATGGTGGGTAAATGTGGGTAAGGTGGAGCAGTGGGAAATTGCTTCCACTGCATCCCACGAACGAAGTTTTTTCTTGTCGTTTCCAAACTTGGTTGAACAAGTTCGTCATCATCACCTTATTGGTATTTTGTCACTACATGGAAATAGTCGCAAAGTTTATACTGCGCCTTTTAACCGTTCATTGTTGATAAGGCGTTTTGTATTTCTTCGCTTCACCAACAACAGTTTGTTTGTCGCATACTTCTTGTTCGACACACGTCCCATCACGTCCCTTCCCCCAAAGTCATGTGAGTCTGGAATGACAGCTTCCGGGACATTTGCAAAGAGAGAGTGGCCAGGTAACCCCGCACGCCGGTTGCATCTAAGAGTAAGTTAGTTTACATAGCCCGTGGTACAGCCGTGATTCGCGATCACGTGACTATCGCCTGATCGCTAATCGCGGCTGTATCGCGGGCTATATAGCGGAATATTTAATTACAAAAGGAACCGCAAAAACTCTCATTAAATTGTTCGAGCAAGCCACGCCAGATTCGAAGCATAGGTATACACGTAGTGCAGCATTTTTACCGCACACGGTTATAAATCACTGTCCGAAAAGGATTCCTGGATGCTTTGCATGCAGATCGTCGGCAATGCCTATCGCTTATGCCTTTAGCTCTTACAAGTTTTGCGATGCATGTAACAGGTTTCACGATAGTTAGGGATGCTATTGTTAGTATATTAGTGCACGTCCTAATAAAGATATTAATGCGCGTTTATAATGTAATTCATGCACTAATTTATAGTTTTATTAACGCGCAGTAATAATATACGGGACGTGCGTTACGTTCACGCGTGCATACAATTAATTCGCTCATAAATTCACTTCATTTATTGTATTCATTTGTTCTCTTCACTGTTATCTTATTGTTTACACGGGCTTACAAGGGCGCACGCATGCATTCACTCACTGCGTTCTCTCATTTATCGCGCGAAGTAAAGCGCCCGTGTATTAATAGTATTACAAGGGTGCGCTAATAAGGGATTTAGTGATTTTGGTACCTGGACTGTTGGCACCCGCAGTATTTATGAGGGAATTGGGGGTTTGGTTTACGCTTCGCCCCAAACCCTAAACAACCCTAAAAAACCCCTAAAAAGCCCTATTAAGCCCTAAGCCCTAAAAAGCCCTAAACCCTAAAAAGTCTTTGGCCCCTAAACCCTAAAAAACCCTAGCCCTCAAAAGCCCTAAGCCCTGAAACGCCCTAAACCTTAAACCCAAAAAAACCCTAGACCCTAAAAGGCCCTAAATCCTAAAAAACCCTAAGCCCGACGAAACCCTAAACCCTAAAAAACCCTAAGCCCTAAACCTAAAAAGCCCTGAACCCTGCAAAACCCTAAGCCCTGAAGAAGCCCTCAACCCTAAAAAACCTTAAGCCCTAAAAAACCCTAAACCCTGAAACGCCCTAAACCCAAAACCCTAAAACATCACTAAACCCTAAAAGCCCTAAGCCCTAAAGCGCCCCAAACCCTAAACCCTGAAAAGCCCTAAGCCCCAAAAAACTAAGCCCTAAAATGCCCTAAACCCTTAAAAACCCTAAGCCAAAACCCTAGAAAACCCTAAGTCTTCCCGGGCGAATTTTAAGGCTTGGTGGCTGTGAGTTCGTGCACGCTCCCTACCGATTGCATCTTTTATCGTGTTTGTGTTGAACGAAATCAACAGCTTGGCCAGGCAAACAAACAGAAGCATGCATGACCCAATATGATTGAACCCAACCGAAGCGGGTTTAGGTGCAAGCACGCTCAAATGTGGATGCTGAAGTTTTGTCGCTTGCGCACGAAAGGCTCCAGCGAGTTGTTGTAGCAGTCTTGTACAATATTCAATTTTAATACGCATGTGGTCGGCGTGCTGCTGCAACAATCCACAGGACCGCGGCTGTTATGAGTTCTGTCATGAACCGGGGTTGGTCAACAGCGACTGAGGACATTGGACCTGGTGGATACCCTGCTGAGTCTTACAGCGCGCCGGACGATGCCAAACAGGCTGAGGTGCTTGCGCATAGGTGCATGATTTTTGAACTTGCGCACGTCCAAGAATTTGTCGTTGTGTCTGCCAGGGTGCATCGCCTTTCCCAGCCGCTTGCCGCGGATTCGATATGATTGCATGCGTTGGGACTTGTGACATGGGTTTGGCCACTGGGTGCATCTCACACTGCGCGGGTGAGCCAGCGTGAAACGAGGCTTCCAGTGGCATGCAAGATGATTTTTGCGAACAGCCACTCGGACCGATACGTTGCATGGATAGCTGGTGTAGCTACATGCCAGGAAGGCAGCAGGCTTGGACAAACATCCCAACTGCTGTGCATCACTGCTACAATGTTCCCCTTGTTGACAGACATGCGAAACTCGCGTGATGGGCATGAGCTTCTCCCTTGCAGCAGCATGAATGCCCATTTCCATTGCAATCTTCCATGTGCTGCTTTTTCAGGGAATTGGGGCAACCTGTTGCGGCCAGGAGCTTGGTGGTTGTTGCGTTGGGTTGTTTCGTGGCAGTTCGAGGACACACCCGACACACCCAGGTGCTGCAGAAAGAGCAACTTCCGAATCTGCTGACGAAGTTCCCGGTGTGCCTAAAGAAGGGCGCAAGTCTCAAAAGCCATGCTCGTGGTTTTCGTCACATAGTTGTTTTTGCAAGCTTGTTTGTAGCAATTCGTTCTCCTTGACTCGAGAATAGGGATAGGGCGACATTCGATCTCCTAATCTTTCTGGCTTGACGACTGACTTTCTTGTTGTCACATTGTGGCGTAGCTGTGAGGACATAAGCTTTGCACATAAGTTTCCATGTCCCAATGCTCTCGAATCGCCACCCAGACTCTGGATCCTATGGCTTGCGCTTGGACTTCGAGACTGCAGCCTCTTGGCTTGGTTGCAACAGCACGTGGGGAGAGCCGATGTGGTTTGAACCCAGGACCTTTCTGAAACTGGATCTGGCTTCAAGGCTCACCTCATGCTGGCAAGACGGATGTGCCCTGCCCTCCGCCTCCTCCTGCACAGGATCGGTGTCTGATCTTTGACGTTGTCGGTGGCGCCGCCGCCGCGTGGAACAAAGACAACCCAGACAAAACTCTGAAGGTGTGGCCACAGTGGGTTTGCACTTGATGAAAGCTGTGCCTGATGCAGGTCGGGGACTGCATTGCTGCTGCGAATGGCGTTAAGGGCTCCTCGAAGATGGTGTACGAGTCGATACGCAAGTCAGACCAGGCGTCGGGGCTCCCGTGGAGTTGATGTTGAGAATGATGTTGGATGATGCCGCATTTTTGCAAGGACACTCTGCAACATTCAGTGAGATCAGGCACGTTCAGTTCAAATCTGTGCCTGGCTATGTAGGTTGATCTGGTCATCGAGCGGCCACAGGCCGGCTGCTGCGTCTCTTGAGAGTTTTTGACCGGGATTTTTTTGTGTATATATATATATATTTATATTTATATATATATATGTATTTTTTTTTTAAAAATATGCATGTATATATTGTTGAATGTTGACATGCGTTGACTGCACGAGACGCTGTGCTTGGACGCGTGCCTTGCAGCAAAAGAAGCAGAATTATCAGCGCAAACGAAAGCAGTCGCGGTGCAAAAGTCAGGTATCCTGTGAAGCGCTTCCGGCATAGCCCAAGTACTGTCGGTGATCACGCCTCAATTCTGGGCAGGAGATCACTGTCGCTGCTGGCAAGGGTGGCAGGCTCGCCTCAGAAGTTCATTTTGCGTCAAATTGCACGGCCTTAGGTGAGCAGCCCTTCTTGAGAGCCCGTTGCCACAAAGCTATCGCTCTACAAAGCCATCGTTTCATTGTTTCGTCCGAGGCCACTGGGCCTTGATCTGGCGTACGCGGACTCCAGTGCCTTTTGGACTGCCACAGTTGGTTCACCACGATTCAACATCATTCAATATCAAACATGTTTCAGCAATGTCATTCCACGAGCGCATCGGGAATTGCTCAGCGACCTGAGGTTGGGCTCATCGTGAAGCAGGCGCTGTATGGGTGCGATTTTCTGGGGGTTTAGCCTCGTTGAAGTTCCTAAGGCAGGTCTTGCTGACATGGTCTGGACGTTGCATGTGTGTGTGTGTCCCTTCAGGATCGAAACTTATTTTCGCAGCATTTGGATGGTTCTTAGCGTGCTTGCAGTCTGACGTGCGTGTGTGAGGTAAATGCAGGCCCCGTGAGGGACTGGAACAAGGCACACCCTGACGCACCCGTGGTCCCCGGAGTGGGGATGCCCAGACATTCGCTCCCAAAATCTTTTGGTCGGCTGATGCTTGGAATCTTGCCGCCGAGGATAGAATCCTGGAGGTGAACGGATGCAAATCAGGAGGGGGCTCTTGTCAGCAGCATGACGGCCCTGGCGCTCCATGTTTTTGACCCGCCCCAATCAGCAGCCGTACCTTGAGATGATTTGCATGCTTGTCGGCCATCATGTGCAGATTTTGCGGTAGTACCTGCCGCACGTGCCACTGTGCAGCGCATTTTTTTCTGCCTTGTCTGTCTTGTCGTTCGCCTGGTGACCACGGGAGGACTGCACGAAAGAATGCCAGAGCTCCTGAAGTCACCAAACGAAGCTTGGACTGGGAGTGAGGACAAGAAAAAATCGGGTTTGCGCTTATTCTCTGCGACTGGAAGAATGATCACGGCTCCCGATGCCGAGGATGAAGTGATGCTTCGAGTCTTGAGCTGGTCGTGAGACAAAGCAGACTCTGGCCAGCCTAATTATATGATGCTATTGCTTGAACTTGCTTGAGGATTCAAGGGTTTCAAATGGTCGTGAATCAGAACGAGTTGACCCTTGAAGTCTTCAGTTGGTTCCGATTCCGGGCAATGTCTCGGCAGATCGTTGTTTTGCGGGACATGGCGTGTTCTGGCTCGAAGCTCCCTGCGTAAGGAAGCCTAGTCAAGCCGAGGCTAGACAGGCTGCATCGGGCTTGGTTGAAGTTGCAGGTCTCGAGTCGTCGAACACGCTGCATGTTTCAAGCTACGTGCAACACTTGCCATGTGAAACCACATCGGTGAAGGACAATTGAATTCGAAGAACCTTGCTCGGTCCGGCGATGTACCTGCATGTGTTTCGGGCAAACGACCCGGCCACGTGCTGTTTGGCTGTATTTTGAAAGAGAGAGGGGCCGCTGCGATTTGAAAACAGGGCGCGCCTGCATTATCGTGATGAAGTCAGCCAGCTCAAAGCACTTGTTGAGCCACGCTGAGCGGTAAACAAACATCTGCAGCTGTTTAGATCCTTTGCATGGTTTGGCAGCTTTATGACCAACTCGTACGAACAGTTCTTCGGACACCAGCAGCCTACCCCCAGGCCGAGCTTGGAAGGCCTAGCCAAGAGATGAGCATATGATACCCGAGATGATGCCAAAGTGATGCCCGAGAGATGCCGCGTTTGCCCATGTTTTACATCTTACTCCTTGGGCTGGTCGGCGCCCGACCACCCCAGGCCTGGAGAGCTGGAATACTGCGTGCGTGTTGAGGTCCTTTCCCTTTCTTAGCTTCCTTCATGCCATCTTCGTTCTTGGGTGCTGTCTTGTCGCAACATCAGATATACATCGGCAATCCCCAACCCGTGCTTGAACTGTGTATGTTCGTTGTGGAATCCTTCGCCAAGCCCACAGACCCGGGAAAGGACTGGTGGCCTTGTGAGCATCCCAGCAGCAGTGGAGAATGGAGCGTTTCCAGTGGGAAGATCGGGAGGGAGGATGTCGCTGCTGTGATCATTGATTACATGTGCATTCTGAAGATTGCCTTGAGTATTCGTGGCTCAAAACCCAGACGCCTCAACCAGGCGTTCTGCAAGGTGCACATTTTTGTCGGGTTGGTATTGGTGCATTGAGATCTTAACATCCGCATTGGACACCTGCGGTTGGAATTGCTTGGAACACAGGCATGCGACTGGTCGTCAAGTTGATTGGCCGAAGCTTAAGAAGCAGATGCAGGTGATCGCAGGCATTGCTGCCGGGAGGGGCCTTGCTGTAGTGGTTGTGGGAGAGGCTCTCCTTTGCTCGAGTTGCCTAACTGCTGAGTCTCGGCGCTGTTAGGGAGCGCAACGGCTGCGGGTAGCGGCGAGCAACTCTGCCCGGTAGTTTGCCAAGACTCCTGTAAGCTGTCTTAGAGAAACGTTCCGTCTAGCGGATGCCAGGATTTCTTCAGCACATGTTGCTCCTGTCCAGGGTTGATGCGGGTCTGCAACCTGTTGGGGGGAGTCTCTGACCGTAAAAGCAGCAGACCGTTTTTTTCCGGAGCCAAGAAATTGCCCTCTGTTGCCGGGGAGGGATCCTTGTGGGGCATGGACATGGGGGTTTACAGGGACCCATGTCATAACCCCAAATAGTAGAATTCCCTTCTACAAAAGGGACCAAGCAGGTGTACCCTCCTCACTATCGGAATCGCAAACCCCCTGAAGCAGTGCTCTTGCGAAGGCTGGGATCCAGGGAGATCTGCCTTTGTGCAACAAGCCGGGGGGCCCAAAAAAGCAGCCCTTCTCTCGGAAAAGCGAGTTAGAGGGCATCTGATCCGCATTTTTCATATCGGGGGTGGTTTTTGCGTGTTTTTGGTGTTTGCGGAGCTTGAGGCGCACACCGAGCTGATGGTCTTTCTTTGGGCACGGGTGCAGGACTGGCATCGTCAGGACTGGGGGGCATCAGGGGCGCATCATCATCATGGGGCGGGGCGCATCAGGGGCGCAGGTTCTGAAGCAGCCTCTGACGTAGCCAGTGGACCAAGAGCGCCGCATTTTCCAGCCAGGGCTTAGGTTCCACATGTTTTTTGCTTGCCTGCCCCCTCCCCAAGTCCCGATGCAGGATAGTGATTGCCCGCTCGGAGAGCTGTCGTTCCGATGGCAACTTTTGGCAAGCCGCTTGGGCAGTGGGAAAAACTGACACTTCGGCGGGTCTTGCCCAGAAGGGCCTTTGAAGTCAGAATGTTTTGGGATGTTTCCAGCTTCGAGGTCGAATCATTGCTTCACGAGAGCAGCTTGCAGGTCAAACCAAGCAGGATCTGGCCGAAGGCTTCAAGCGTGTCATTGAAGGCCGCGTTATGATGAATCCCCCCAACACGCCGAAGTTATGCTGAGATGTTCTTTCTTTCTGGATAACTGCGAAGATCTGTGAAGCATGCTTGAAGCAGGTCAGCCCGATGCCACGTGGCTCGACTCCTTGCTGAAATCCGCCTGGGAGGACTCGCACGGTGTAGTACTGAAGTTACTGGCAGACTCGTAGTTATAGAGTCGCTTGGCGTCACGACGCGGGCCATGGTGTGCTGTATCATTCATGAGCCTCGGGCCGCCGACCCCACAATGCAGAGAGTGGACGGATTCGTCGCAAGACTTTGCGCTTGAGGCCTGAACCTTAACAGCCTGAAGCCAATGCCGCGCGGGCATTTTGTTCAAACAAACTGGTACCACTGCAGTAAGCACTGCTGGAAACCCCAGCTGGTGTGTGCTGGCCTGGATTCATGCGCGGCAGGTCTTCATTTCAATTTTGTGTGTGTGTGTGTGTGTGTTTTTTTTTTTGGGGGGGGGTGCAGGGCGGAAGGGCCGGCTTCCTCCCCCATGTACCCTCCAACATAGCGCCCAGGGTTGGTGAATTCGCTCGCGGTTCAAGCACAAATCCTCACCAATGAAAGCATGGGAGGACTTGATGAGCTTACATGCGAAGTGGCACGAGGCTGCTGATGTTTTTCCAGCTTGGAGTGAGGCATGTTTGTTCACCCCGCTTCTCAGATCATGGATTCCCAGTGGCCTCTCTTCAGCGCGTTGGCGCTGACAGCAAGGAAGCTGTCTGGTCTGAGGAGGCACCGTTGTGCTGTTTGCGCCAATCGGTTCTCAAAGCACCGGATTTGTGCGAGAAGTATGGATAGTTACGACCGTTTCCAGAGAGCTTGACAGTGGTGGATCAATGGGATTTGAAACGCTATCTATCTCCCTAGTTTTTCCCAAAGCCAGGAGCCTCCAGCCTGTCGACCGTGCAGGGGCCAAGGCTTTTTCCAGCGCGTCAATGGCATCAGTGCTGGTCAGGTTTGGTTTTGCTTTGTGTACGGGCCTCATGATAAGGAGGACCTGCGTCCACCATGTCTCCCGCCTTTTGAAGATAGCACCACTTTGCCGGCTTGTCATAGTTGCAGCTGCTCTGAACCTGTAGAGGTCTCTCAGCCTTCCGATTGCGTGGGCGATGAAGCCGCACTGAGGCGTGTGAAGCGTTTTTTTTTTTTTGTGCTGTGTTATTTTCTTTGAGTCTTGAGCTTGAGGTTAAGTGAGTATCGGCGCACCCCACAGGTCCTGTCCCCTCTCGAGTCTCCGCCCACCCTAACGAGACGTGAATCCGTCAGACCCCTGAAGCTCTCAAGCTACTCTCCAACTCGGCGGATGCCCGAAGTCCCTCCTTCTCCGAATGGTGCGGGAGGCGCTTCGAGGAGCTGCTCGACGAGGACGGGGTCGGTTGGCGATGGTTGCTTTTGGGTTTATCATTGTAGATATAAATAATAAATAAATATATAAATAAATAAATAAATAAATATATATATATATATTTATATATATATATATATGTATAGCGCTTGTGCACTTTTGTTTCTCGTAGGTAGGTGCCAGTCAACATGGAAGATCGCTGTCGTTTACTGCTGTCTCTCGGGGAGGGGTTGCCAAATAGTGGGTTGCTTCATGCCCAGGGAAGCGGTGCTTTGCGGCAGGAGGTTACCAAACACACATGCCAGAATGCACATGGCTGTGGGAGGACATGTTCGCCAGTCCAGCGCTCCTTGAGCCCTCAGCTTGGTACTTCTCCGGGCTTGTTGTTTAGTGAAGGTCGGGCAAATAGGGGGATACTTGAGATTCGAACTGCGCTTGTGGAAGCTGCCCTTCAGATCGGAAATGGTGCCTTTCTCGAGACACTCCTAGCCCAGATAAGCTGCTCTTGCTCGTAGCCTTCTGGTCTTGCTGTCGGGGAGCCCTCTCTCCGAGCCAGTGCCCCCAGCTGAGTACCTGAGACAAATCTAGAACTAACTCTTACCAGAGCTCCTCGATGACGGGGAACCGGTAAGGGCGGGGGGGGTGTTGTCTTCCATTGTCTGATTCACTTTAGGAAAGGCTCCAACAAATACATGTCAAGCATCAGGTCAGCGTTTGCCATGGAGTCCGTCCGCAGCTGCCCTGCAGCGTTGGCCACTGTGCCACGGGGACAAGCGCGGAGTGGTTTGGGCTCGAAGCATTGTTGGCACGTCGCAGATCTTCGGGTTTAGGATATGCACTATTGGAAGGTGTTCAGTCTTTCAATGATGCTCCAGCTACGGAGAGATTCATTAAGAAGGGCTGCAGTCTGTGCAGTGATACTAGCAGTGCCCTCAGTCAGCTTGGCAGTTATCTCGCCGAATAACAGCCTCAGAGCACAGGCCCAGCCTCCGCTTCAGGACCTTGAACCCTAAACCCCAAACCCCAAACCCCAAACCCTAAACCCTAAACCCTAAACCCTAAACCCTGGGTTCATCTTCAACTGCACAGTGGGTCTTTCTCTGAGGTATGTTGTCGCAGCCGAGCACCACCGCCGGGCGCGCGAGGACCTGTTTCAGAGAAGCTGGAAGATCGGACATAAAGAGCATGGAATATACCTTCAAAGAACATACTTCAATGGAACAGAATTTTACCGTCAGCTCCAGAACGATGTCCCCGAATCAGGCTTCCAAGCCTTGATTGACAGGGAAGTCGAGCCCAAGCCGGGCAGGGACCAGCAACTCAATTTGCTTTCTTGGGCTTGTGCACTCTCAGCCGGTTATACCAATGGTTTCACTTGCATCACCTGTACACGGTCTGCAACTTTATCCTATTGTTGTTTTGTTGCTTTGTGGTTGGGAGTTTCCTTCATCAATCTCAAGCGCAGGATGGGTTGCTCGTGCGCCCTTCCCAGGCCAGACCCAGCAGAGCCACTCGCAGTTTGCAGCGGGAGCTTTGGAGGAACTTCCATGGGGGGTTTCCGAAATTGGGGGGTGCCCTCTTGAATTTCCTTGTTTTCAGGGAGGGTCCCTTTTAGAGGGAGTTTCGTGGGGATTTCCGGGGGGGGAGTGGAAGAGAGCAGGCGGAACGTGGCCTCCTGCTCCGAGCCGAGGCGCAGCCTTGCCACGCGACTCGGGGCAAGGTTTCTGGGGGGGAAGAGTGACGAACTGGAGTTTTTCTGCAGTGTCCGAGATGCACCAACGCATGTTTGAGCGAAGTCTTTTCGAGGGGTTGCCTGATGTTGCCTGACAGTGCTAGGATCAGACCCCAGGAGAGCATATTCTAAACTTCGATCGGCCAGTTGGTGAGCTCGGTTCTGGTGAGAGTGGCGACGCTACAAAAGCTCATCATTAGGCTTGGAAAGTGGAGCCGTATTCAGTACCCAGTATGATGATGTATGGTCTGCGTGGTACGCGCATTCCCTTCTGCATGCCTCCGCAGGGCCACATTCGAGCCCATCGAGATGCTCGGAACATTGTCAACACCTGCGTAGCTTCCTGCAGGGACACAGGGTTGGCGTGTCTGTACGGGTTGTTTAAGGGTTGCGATGTCAGAGCTCATCAGAGCTCATCTTTCATTGACGTGAGAAGACAGCCAAGGACATGCATCTTCTCTTAAGTCCTTGGCCACTTTGGCGCGCCTTAGACCGCTTGACCTGCGCTGGCGTCATAAACGCCAGGGCCCCGCGAAGCCAGTCGGGGTTTCTGAAAGGGCATGACTTCGGTGAATTTTTGACGTGCGCTTGCAACACGAGGGCAGCAAAGGTCCTCAATTTGTGGGAGATGAGGCCATCAAACTCCAAGCGGGCAGATCTGTAGCTTTCTGTAGGGGCACGCTGGGTATCTCTCTTCAGATCTTTGGCTTTTCGGCAGCGGCCTGCATCTGGGTCCCACCCCGCAGATACCAGTGTTGTTGTCAAAAACGCACAGAGGCCACGGTGGTGTCTGCTTTCCCGCCCGCAAAGCGCTGGCTTTGGCTTTTTGTGAGCCGAACTCGGGCGAAGGAGCAGGACCCGAGCTTTGACAGAGAGTGTGGGGCACAGTTTCAGTCAGAATTTGGATGTTGCCGTTGGGTGTTAGGATGATTTCTTTCCGGACGTCAATTTCCAGCAGTCTTGACTCTGATGGGGCCCTTAACTCGGATCCTCGTCAACCTGAGTGTGAAGGACCTTGTCGTCTCCAACCAGATCCGGGCAGAAAGGGTTGCCCACTGCCCGAGAGAGTTCACAGCTCTGATGGAGAGGGCCGCTCAGAATGACCTGTGAGCTTGGTTGAAGTTGAAAAAAAATGTCTGTGCACGTAACGTGGGTACTCTGGGAGTTGAAGAACGAGAATGGGGGGATACATGAGACCTCTTCGAGCATCAAGCTGGGGTGTCTGGCTTTTGCTCTTTGGTTGCTTCGGAAGCATTGGGCAGCCAGACAACTTCAGGAGATACACTGCCTGGATTCGGCTCGATCGGAAGGTGGTTTCGTGCGCCTGTACCCGAGGTTGCTCAAAGTCAGCATCCTCTTGGCAACAAGATGAAGGTGGTGGAGGCTCTGCATAGTGTACTTGTGTAACTTTTCGGTGCGTTGAATCGGGATCTGGAGTTGGAGGCGACCTTTGATGAATGCGAGGAATCGTCAAAGGAAGGTGTGAGGAGCAGCTAGGGGGGGCAGCTGCTTGGCTTTCCAGGTCGGGGCTCACTATGGAGACTGCTCGCTTTGGGCAGCTGCGGTCTTCAGCCCAAAGGCAGACCTGGAGCGATTGGATTGTTTTTCATGGAAGCTCATAGCTGCAGTTTTGGATTGTGTGGCATGTTGATGTTTGGCGGCTTGTTGTTCTACTTGATGCTATGGTCATGTGTGGTTGGTTACATGAGGCCTGTCGGCTCTTGCAGAGACTGGCGGCATGTGCGGTAACCTCAACTCCACCGAAGTGATTTTACCACAAGGACAGGCAGGCTCATTGCGCAAAGGCTGGGCAAGCTACCTATCAGCGCATTCCGCTTCAATGCACACACTCTCCAGGCTGAATGCTGTACTTGTGAAGTCTTCTCGCAACATCAAAGACTAAGCAAGCAATGTGAGTTTTGCGAATGTAGCTTGGTATGACCCTTCCAGTGCCCCCGAATGGCAGTAAGATGACGTTCCGTGCTTTTATGTATCACGTGGAGCCAAGCGAGTAAGCAGCACGTGCAGTTGCCAGCCTAGAGCTAGGTGCCACGTCAAACAGCCTGTAGTATGTAGAGGTGTCTGCGTTAAACTGTTCGCGGGTAGGGTCGAGGCTCTTTTCGGCAGGGGTGTCGAAGAAAGCGTTGTGCCTGAGTGTACCTTACTTTGTCAACTCGGTTTTGCCCGTCCTACGGTTACATGAAGCCATCACCTCTCCGGTCCTTGCTTGGGCGGTTCTGCGTTGCTGTACATGCCCGTTAAGGTGGGTGGTGAAGTTGTGCACCGTGAGGTGCTTGCTCAGATGTCTGCATTCGTGTCGGATGGGAAGTGGTATTGGGGCTCCAGGCACACTGTTGGTAGATGCTGCTGGATTCTTTTGCTGGTTGATTTTGTGGCCTCTTTCGGGTTTCATCGGAGTTTCATTCAGAGCAAACCTCCCATCGGCAAAGCTGTGCGCGAACTAATGTTGCACATTCTGGCGCTGCACGATTGTAAGGCTGAGACAGTCACAGGCCTTTCTACCCTTAAAACTTCCGTTTGTTTAGGTCATACCTCCGGCTTGACTTCCTCCGTCGTTTGAGCGACCCAAATGCCATTTTGTGCTTTGTACTTCGTCTTGGCAACGAGGTTGTGCCGAACTTCTCCCATAAAAGTCGATTCGCTCACTCCAGATTGTTCTTTCTTGAATGTATGCCTTCCATCGCAGTGACTTCTTTCAGCATGCTATCGATCACATTCCGGATGCTCGTGCGGCGATGTGAGTATAGCGAGTAAAGCAGGAAGTTTTACTTTTTCTTCAGTACTGTGACAAGCTTGCTGGGTGAGAAGGGTCAACTCCAATCCACCGTTCTTGTCCCAGGTGAGCTGCGTGGGCATTGAGGTCACTTGGCTTTGATGTTTAAGTTGCTGGGGTGTTCTTGCAGGGAGGATGTGTCAGAGAATTCAGCAGACCAAGCTCCTATCCTTTACATTGAAGCCATGCTTGGTAGAAAAGGAATGCGGAGCTTCACATAATGTGATATCAGTTTTCTAACCTGTATCATTTGTAATGTATGACGTGACCTGCACCCTGTCCACCAACTCGTGTAATGTTTGCCCTGGGCTTCCTGGAGCCTTATTTCTTGCTTTTCCTGCAGCAAACTAGCTTCTTCCTAGCTTCTTCCTTTATGAAAGTGTGAAAGTGATGCTTTGGTGTATCACATGAAGAATACCAGCATGCATATTTTTACTACTGTTGTTATCAGGGTTCTGTTCAGGCCGACCTTGCCCGCTGGGAGCGCTTCCAGCGAGCGAAGGTTGCAAACCAGTTCGAGGACTGATCCTGGGGGCCTTGGACGGAGACGGAGGGGCGGGCTAAGGGGGCACTTGCTGCACTTTGTTGTAGGATGTCTCCTGAGCCTCCACCATGAAAGGGCACACGCACGCACACTGTGTCTGAGCAGCGGATGCCTCAGAGCGGACTGCGCAGTTAGCGGTGTTGTATGTAGCTGAAGGTTGATTCGCCATGCTTTTCTGGTTCTGGCATGAGCCGTGCTAAATGAGGATTTTTCAGCAACCGTCCCCCTGGAACCTGCCTGCTTCAAGTGCGAGATTGACGAAGGACGAGACCCTGGTGGCCTTGCATGGCTTCGTAGCCGATCCACTGCAAAGCTCAGTGGACCATGACTCCCGGCTGCCTTTGGGCAAAGTGAACATGTTTTGAGTACCATTTGCAGATCTGTAGCACCAAAGACACACAAGCAGACCCGAACAGCTTGCAAGAAACTCTAAGTGGTCTGCTCGAGCTGAAAGATCCCTAGTAGCCTAGCCCTGGTTGTTGTCGCGAGGAATTTCGAGGCAGCCGGCTCTTGCCATTTATCCCAAGCAGCTCAGCTGGAATTACGTTGTGTTGAGGTTGAAGAAAGTTGTTGAAGAGGAGCATGGAGAGCTTGATAGCATCTGCGAGTTCGAATGCAAACGCAAGCATTGAAACACCAGCCCCCAGCACATCCTCAAGCCCTTCAAGCCTGAGTTTCCCGATGTCTCAAGCGAAGCATTTCTTCCACTTCATCTAGGAGCTTTTAGCGGTCTTGGCCATGCGCATAAAGTTCCCCTGCGCATGAAGTTCCCCTTAGTGTCACAATTTGCACAGGCTCACAAGGCAGCAGTCTCCCAAAGGTTTAGGGTTTGGGATTTGTATCCACCTTGTGTGCAGGACTCACCCTGGATGAAATCATCCGCTTCTTGGCTCGATGGGGGAACGTGGTGATGGACGGACTGTGATCTCTGCCAACAATGGGACATTTGCGACCAGCAGCCTCTCACTCGTCGGTCTGAGCCAAAACCCACGTTAAAACCCATGTTTCAGCTGGACACTGTCAGTCTAGGACTGCTTAGGATGGCACGGGCGATCCGAGCATTTTCCTGATCTGTCTTGTAAGGTGAGCCTGTGGACGTTCTCAAGGTGCTGCAACTTTGGGATCTGCATGCTTTTAAGAACCAGGCATCGAAGCCTTCCTTCATCAGACGAGGGCATCGAAGCCTTTCATCCCTCAACCGCGTGCTACCCGCAGGTGCACACCAACGGCGGCCTCTTGGACAGCAATGGGCAGGCTGCCACAACTCAGCCTCCAATTTGGCATAAGGTCCAGGGTCTTGCGCTTGTTGTCTTGGGCTTACGCACGTTACGGCCGCCCAACAGTCTTGAAGCTGGCCCAACCGTGCACATGCATCATAAGTTCCTGTAAACGAATGGAGAACGACGTGTCAGACCACATGCCCCACTGCAGCTAAACTACATCTGAGCCCAACATCTAGGATTTGCCACAGCAGGCTTAGGTACCTGCTCAAAGCTGAGAGAGAGAGAGAGAGATATATATATATATATATATACATGTAGAGATGATTCCTTCAAGGTGAGCACCTCGTTCTTTTCGGGGCGCGTCGGACCTTTGCCCGTGGCGTGCGCGCGGTCGTGGGGGCTCCTAAACACACTCTGGGGGACCTACGCTGGCAGAGCTTCTTCAAAGTTGAATTTGAGGGCAGTGCTTCGGTTTGGAGGTCCAAAAGCGTTGGGCTATGAAGTTGCGAAGGACATTTGGAGCTTTTTCGGCTCGTGAGCAAGGCACTGGTAAAGCCATCTGACCAACAGGTAGCACCAGGTAGCTGGAACGGAAAGTTGTTGTGCGGCGATGGTGCTCTATGAGCCTTAGATGTGCATGTGCTAAGAAGAATGTTCTTTGGCCAGAGATGCTGTAAGCTTGACGTAGTCTCGTCCTGGCCGGGCGTCCCAAGGTGGTTTCTATCCTCAACTCAACGCTTGGGCTGAAGTCGGCCCGGTTTTTGGCAAAGCGGGGCTACGATGCCAAGCTTGAACTTAAGAACCGAGCAAAGCTATCGTTGAGGGCTTTACTTTTTGACTGAATGATCTTTCGTCGATGTGCCGGAGTCCTTTGCGGTTTTTGTTCACAACTATGCCTGGAATTGGGGGTGAGCAATGCAGACCTCGCAGTCTCCGTCATGCATGCTGTGATTCTCGTCCAGTTCAGGAAGTTCGCATCGGCAACGAGCGATTGCAGCCTGCCAAGTTGCGACGTGCATCGTACGTTGGCAAGATCATCGAGGCGTGGATGACAGGAAGTTAGAGTTTGAAAATTGTTCGAACGGGT